GAACACAATGTGTACAAACAATTATACAAACATATTTAGGTATATATGCATTGTGTATCATCATTCTAAGAAACTTATTCAAACGACTTATGCCCACTCCAGAAAGAACGATAAGTGATAAACTATGACCCATCCGACTCATATAAATATAGTTGTATAGGCTAATACATCAGTTAGTACAAAGAAATACAAGAAAATGTTCGCACTCGTGCTTCTGGGATGTTTGGCGCTTTCCAGCGCTGCACCTCGTCACTACCACCATCCATACCACCATCATGGACCACCGCATGGATCATCCTACGAAGCATGTTTGGAAAGGTACTTGGAAGAAGAAATGTTCAACACAAGAAGATTTTGGGATGAATTGGGACGGGAAATGTTGGAACTCGATACTGTGCTAGCAGATTTCGGTAAATATAGAATCCAAATCGAAGGTAACGAATACATTATCAGAATATCTTTGCCTAATTATGAGGAGAAAGAAATCGCTGTGAAGGCAAGGAAAGGGTTGGTGATGGTTCAAGCTGTGCACCAAGAGGAGGGCGAGCCACAGAGAAATTATTTGGACGTCAGGACCTTACCTGACTCTGTCAACGAAGCTGGTAGCTGGTCATTTGAAAATGGAGTACTGAAAATTGTTTTCCCGATCGCTAAGAAAGAAATCACTGAGGGCGAAGTTCCAACGGAGGCTCCTGTCACAGAAGCACCGCAGCACAGTCGAGAAGATATGGAACCTACGTCAAATGAGAATGCCAACCGAAATGCCGATGTAGAATCCGATAGAGGAGACCTTGGCAAGAATACAGAACTTTTGACTAATGAAATACCAAAACACAATTCTGTTGAAACGACTACTCATGCTGTTGATTTGAAAGATGATTTCAAACTTGTTCCAACCCCTTATTAGGTTTGGGATGAAATAAGTTTTTTTTAAACATGTTTCTCTAAGTTCTTTATTGTGATAGACGAATTTTTAATAATTTTTGACCTTTTATAAGTAATTTATAACAAGTTTTATTTATAATTGAATCCTTTTGTTTTGACTTATTAAATAATAAAACAAGATATTATGAAGTCCATGGTTTTGTTTTTTGTTATATATTTTAGAGTTGGAAAATGTTAAGTTAGAGAGAAATCTTTTAATTTTTCGAATAATTAATTTTCATTATAGAGCATTTTTATAATAAAAAAATATATTTACAATAAATTTTATTTAACTGACGAAACAATAACTGTGTAAATAAATACCTAAATGAAATAATCATTTATGAAGAACCGCATGTCGTAAGAATCTAAATATAAACATTAATATTATCAAGTTCTACCTCTAAAGACCATTATACATATTTCTGAGAAACAAATTTTGTTGAAATAATAACGGCATAACCCGATGCATTTTTTTTTTGGCTTTTGCTATGGGTACCGGATAGTTGATACACTACACATATATAAACTTTAAATACATACATATTATAAATATATTACGTTAAAACTAGCGACTTGGCCCTCGCCTGGCTCGGAGTTCGGAGCTTGGTTTTATTTTTATTTTTAACGCAACCCTAATTATTTTTCTAAAATACAAGTAGCTTAAGTTACTCCTTATAACATCAGCTATTTCCCAGTGAAAGTCCCGTCAAAATCAGTCCAACCGCTTTGGAGATTAGCTGGAACAAACAGACAGACAGATTAAAAACATTTTTTAAATTATGTTATTCTTATAACCTTTTATTTCGACTTTACAAACAGATACTTCAATTTTTACTTATCTGTATAGATTATTTATTTTTACTTATCTGTATAGATTATTTCTTATTGTAAATGAAAACGTTATGTCTTAAGTGTCTTCATGGATTTTTCCATATTATTACTTGGGTACATCAGTACCTGCCTTCTGTATTTATAATTTTATATAATAATAAAAATAAAATCTCTTTAATCCGCAATACTTTTCCATAAAATTTATAATAAAATCCAAAAACTTATAACAGCCCTCTTTTCCGTCGAGTGTTAAAAACCAGTTATTTATAAGTAAATAACGAGTACATATTATGTACGTTGTGATACTGTTTTCTCGTCGAAATGCCCCCTTATCAAAAGTCAAACGTAATTAGATTCAACAATATAAATTCATCGTTTTGCTAAGTACCTACTAGAAAATGTTTATGTTTGAGACATTTATTTATGCTTAAAATAATTAAAATAATAAGGCCATACAATACATTTTCTCTACAGCTGTAGAAAGAATTTATTTTTATTTATAAACCAGCTGAGCCGATCGACGTTGTCCTGTCAAAATTGTAAAGATACTGGTGATCGCCTCGTGGTTGAAAATCAACCATAATTCTGGTTCTAGGAGGTTCTATCTTCAAATTTATATAGATAGCCTAAAAAATCTAAAAGAATTTTGAAACGGGCCCATAGATTCAGAGATTTGTACGTACAGACAAACAGACTTTTCATTTTCATATTGTGTAAGTACTCGTATAATATTAATGAAGGTTATCTAATATCTTGCTAACATCTTTTAGCAGTGAAGTAATTTTATCTATATATTACTACGTGAAGAAAAATCTTTGAACCCCTTTTGCATATACGGAGGAGGATGAGCTTCGGAATAGTTAAAGTTTATATAGAGAAAGACTGCAGAAAGCCGAAATTTATTGACTTTAAGCTTTCTTTTACACGCGAATCCGCTCGCGCTAAAACTACAAAAAACCACTAAAAAGTTATTTTTCTTACAAACTTTCATCCCCTATTTTATCCCCTTAAACGATAACTTCGAAAAACTACATATTTATTTAATTGTATTGAAGAGCATTAATACCAAGTTTCAAGTAATTCTGATTATAAATATTTTTTGTGTTGCATTATAACGTTTTTTCCCGTGGGAATGAGATAATCTGCTGCTGTAAAAAGTAGCCTATGTCACTCTCCAGCCCTCCAATTATCTCCACACAAAAAATCACGCCAATGCGTCATTCCGGTTTCACATGAAAGAAGGACAAATAAACAAACAAACACACTTTTACATTTGTAATATTAGTATGGATTATTCTACAAATACTCTACAAATACAATACTCTTATTACACTCATCTCAGTACGAGAGCAAAATCCACGAACCCATTAATTAAAATATTGTCTTTATGTCTGTCTGTGTGAATTTAGGACCCGTAGAAGATTCGAAATAGAGGGAAAATTTTATTTTCCATCTACAAACTAAGATATAGAAGTCCCAAATGAAAATTAGTTATGTATTAAAATACATATTTTATTTTATTGTTTAAAATCAATTAATATTTACACAAACAAAATATTTCGTAGTGTGTTGATTTACACATTGATATATTTTGAAATACTTTATTTACTTTTAAACGTTTTGCCCGTTTATTTATCCATCACGTAAAACTATTTGAATAGCTTTGATGAGTTCTATGCTTTTTGCAGAATTGCCTAACTGGAAATAATCTGCCAACCTCAATTTTATTTACAACTGTATTTTATAGTTGAGGAATTTTATTTTGAAGCTAATAAAATAAATTTTAGATGGAGTCTGTAGCACTTAGATATAGAGAATAAGATGAATAGCATATCTCTTCTCATACACAGTAGGCAGAGAGAACAGAATGCCAAATTCTATCATCTCTTCATATCTCTTTCGCTTCTTCCACTTGGTCTTTAAAAGTCCACCAAGGTTTCCTCTATTTTTTTTATTGATGCTTGACAAGATGACTCCATGCTGCCTGATGTTAAGTGACAGTGGAATCCAGGAATGAGATCCATTGGTTCCGGGACAAGATCTCGGTACCAATCAACTACTCAATTTCCCTTTCAATTCACTCTTCCACAGTACGCATATCTTCTTGGTAACCTTACTACTATACAAATGTTAAAATTTGGATGGATGGATGTTTGTTACTCAATCACGCTAGAACGGCTAAACAGATCTGGATAAAATTTGGCACAGAGATAGATTATAGTCTGGATTAGTACAAAGTTATACTTTGTAACCCGGCAAAATGTATGGTTCTCGTGGGATAGATTCGTTTTTAGCCATTCTTAAATAATTTTATCACATGACCTTATATTGAAACTTATTATCATTGTTTATAAGTTCGCGCACCGGCAAAACCCATCTGGACTGAAAATAATATTAATTTATCGAATATTTTTTTTCAACAAAACAGATTTATTACAACGGTTTTTACGTCCGCGTAAATTTCAACTTCTAGATAAGAAACACTTTATTTTTTATTAATTATCGATTGTTTTTGTTTTTTAGTTATCAGCTAAAGTAAACTAAACTATATTAATTATAGTAATTTATATCCAAATTCAATGGTCAAATTGAATGGTTGGCATTCCTTCCTAAATGCCCATAGACGTAGAGAATGGACTGAGCAATACTGTCATAAATTTCACCACTCTCTAGAAAGAGAGAAAGCGAACGCGCGGCCAATACCTGTCTTTAATTCCAATTTGAATTATAATATTATAAAGGAGTGTAAAATGGATACATATCTATCTTCATTAATCGTATTGCAATTAATACAGAAGACTTCTAGCCGCACATTCATTTCGTCTCTGTGACTTTTCCGCCATTTTTAGTTGACGGTTGGCAAAGAAACATTTAGTCAACTATCTACGAGTATGTCTATGTAAATGCCACACCATACATGAAGGTTTCAATTACGGTGTCTTCCTCAAGATTTCATTCTACAATAGTTACAAGAATGCAAATCTAAAAAGTTATATGCGAACTAGCTTCGTATTTGTTGACATTTATGATTACTGCTCACTGCTAAAACGCCTTCGCTTCTTTAATACCCCGCAGGAAACATTCGATGCACTGGGATGGATAAGTAACCTTTATCATTCTTTGGCCAATTATTATTTAACTATTTTATGTAAATAATTATAGTAATTGCTTAAAAAAACAACAAAACAAATTGTACAATATTATATTGTATTATAAGCATAGTATCATTAACAGGAGAATCAACGCAACATCCAGCTATAAATGGCAAAAGAGTAATATTCGACAACGTTATTCATTATTTCACTAACAGATTCACACATTTTCTCCGTCGTTTCACCAAACTTCATCTTATATGGGACTGTTATAGTTAAAAAATCACCCTCCAAATTCCAATAGGCGTCGGTAAAATTTAGAAAATCAGGTAATGATACAACATCTACAAGAGTTTGTTCAGGATCTGGTTTTGCAACATGAATGTATAGAAGGCGATACATACTGCGCACTTCCACATCTTTTCGCTTGATTCCTGGAAGATGATATTTAATCACATATTCATCTTCACTATAAATAACTGTTCGGATTTTCGAATTTTCATTGCAATACCTTTGAAGGGCTGTATCGACTTCAGTAAGTTGTTTGACTATGTCTTCTTTCTTCAAAATTACATGCTTTTGTTTCCACATGGGCTTCTTCTTTTCATATTTTCTTACTTTTTCACACCATTGCTGAGAGTTTATTATATTTAATAACAAAATGAAATATATAATGCGATACATAATCACGACAAATCAAACTGCAAGTGCTCATGCGTTTATAAGTTACGTAGTAAACATTTATGTATATGATTAAAGTTTACTCGTAAGTCTTATAATAATGTGAGTGAGATAGTGTGTCCTAGCGATCGATTGGTTGCTGCTCAGTTATGTACATAAATAATATATATCAAGTGTGTACAAATATTATACCTATAAAGTTAAATAATATACCTATTTCAGCAAGTACGGACTTAATCGAAAAAGTCTTTTAGAATTATCTATGTATATAATTTAAAAGGATTTATCCTTCCTAGAGTTGTTCCTTGGATCTATCTTACTAAAGTTAGCCTATACGATGGTACTGGAAGTCCATGTCCATCATTTTGCCTGTTATTGATGAAACTCTTTGTTTTCTTTTTTAACGTTGGAAAACACATTTACATATACACGTGATTATGTAAGACTCAAGTTTCAGCGACCAGAAAAGCTAGTTCTACCATTAAAACCAACCATTGCCTCCCAGATATTATGTGGCGTCGAAGGATCCCTTATGCACTTAACCGTGACGCCCCGACGGCAGGCCTGCTGAGGCAGACCACAACTACCAGGAGGTTGCTCATACTTCCACACGGTCCACTCTGCTATCAGCAGCCCGTATGCTACACCGTCCACCAAAGTGTGTCTCTTGTGATGACAAGGTAAACAACCATGGGGATGATCAACTATTGATGACACCAAGATAGGTCATCAATAAAAGTTTTAGTGGCAATGGTCTCATGCCGTGTTAATATAGTGGCCATGATATAGACAGACGCTCATGACGACCCTAAAAGGCTATCTTATTCAACATTTAGCTATAAAACTCTAAAAAAACTTAATTATAAACATTTAGCGAATATAATTAAGATGTATAAATAGCGGCAATACTAATTCTTATCAGTTTGTATGAAGTAGCTGAAGAAGATGCTACGTATTCTGTTGTTCACTTTGTTCTTCGGTGTTATTGACTATGGATTTTCTGTGCGGATATCAGCGATGCGATATCCTAGAAATTATTATGATGATTATAATAATGAGAGAAGACAAGAATTTCATGAACTATTTTCTGAAGTAGCAGATTCGTTTATCGAAGCTGACGTTGCAAGAAGAAGTTTTGGATTAAAAGAGTATAATGCTCAGGATATTTATACAGCCGACGAATACAAACGTATTTATCCGTTTCAAGATTATTTTGAGGATTCCATCGAAATTATTATTAAGAATCGTGTGATGAAGGTTAGTGCGAGATCAATGTATACGCCAAGGGAGGATTTGCAGGATATAGTTATTTTAGTGGATCACTTGCTAATATCTCAATTATCTTATTATGTAGATTATGAGAATGCTGTGCTTATTATAAATATACCATTCATATTCAAAAAATCGGGAGCTATGGTTTGTAATTATAATGAATTTGAGTGTTGTGATATGCGGCCATATATAAGATAAATAGCAAAGTTGCTTCTTGTTGTGCAATATTCTTTCACAATTATAAAAACAACGCCTGTATCTACACCTTTGTCTCTACACACATACTTGTATTCCAACTATTGTATGTACATAATTGTATTCGAACTATTTGCTAAAATGAAATTTCCATCTCCATACTATACTTATATCAAAAAAAATCTTTATTAATTTTATTATAGAATATCATTTAAAGTAACATTTCTGAACTTTTAAAAGCTTAAGCTTCATAAATATAATTTGTAAAATATTATTTTTATTTCGTGCAAATATTTGATTAAAGATATGCAAATATAGTTTTGTTATTTATTTGTTTTTGTACCCTTTATTTATTAAAACTTGAATATTTTTTAATTGTTTTAATGGTTTGGAAATAATATAAATAACATTAAAAATACATGTCATTGACAAGAATATGTATTATCTGTAGTTATATACTCTGCTCTGTTATCTATGAAATATCAAATAAACTCTCTGCCATTTCTCTGTTCCATGCGAAAGCTCGCATGTTGTTTTATTTAACAGTACAATAAACTTATATTTGATTTTGTTTGAATGAAGCCTTTAAAGCTTCATCCTATCTATTTTATTTACTATTTTAAAAACTGTTATTAATTCTTTATTGTAACAAATTTCTCAAATAATATACTATTTTCTCATTTTCTTTGAGCGATCTGAGGCAGCGCCATCTATTGATAGGCGTAGACGTAGTTTTGGTTAAATAAATACAATGATAGCCATATTGATATATACGAGTAGATATTAGATATTTTTACACTAAAATTACCCAATATTTCTTATATAAGCGATTAATTAATTTTAATGTAATTTAAATATATAACAATAATAAATTTAAAATTAAATAATTATAATTATTGAAAAAAGTATTATTGCTGTAACTCGCAAATATGTTTCTTTAAGAAGGTTTTAGCTTACTTTTATATCTTTAATGTATGCAAATGTTACATTGCAACCCTTTACACTGTTTAGTATTTAGATCACGTACGTACATCTGTGCCTTGATAAGATAAAGTTAATTGAATTCGTAGTCTGAAGAGTTTATAACTAATGAATGCTTTAAGCTCTTTGTAAAAAACATCACAAAGCCTATCGCAGTGTGGTATGTGTCCCACTGGTATCAGTGCTTTGCATGAATTTGTGTAAAGGAAAAACTATATACGTATAAAACTACCTCGGTGGTGTAGTGGCTAGCATGTACGGCTGCACATCTGGCGGTCCTGAGTTGGAGTCCTTGGTCGGGTTAAGTTATTGAGTCTATCTGTTTAGTAAGCCTCATTAACAGCTCGGAGTTGGGAAGTTGGCGGTGTGTCACCGCCGTGCCTCGGAGAGCACGTAAAGTCGTCGATTCCGTGCCTTAACTCTCACTGGTCGTGTCTCGTGTCGTCCCACCGGAGTATGAGAGTGACAGGAATAGAGAGTGCACGTTGTGTCTGCGCGTACACTTGTGCACTATAATATCTCCTGCGCAGATGGCTAGTCTCAATGAGATTGGTCGTCAAGACCGAAATCAGTCGGGAGGACATTATTATTATTATAAAGGTAAAAGGTACTAGATTAAAAAAAACCGACTGCTTAAAAAACGAACTCAAAATATGAGAACAAGTTGACAAATTAACATAGTATTATCAGTCGGAGATATATGAGTATATACAGGTACTTCTTTTATACTTGATGCGAGTCGAGTATATGTATGTCTCCGACTGCATAATACTAAGTAAAGCCAAGGGAACGTAGGTTTGAACATATGTACATACATACAGATCAAACTCATATCCCTCCTTTGGGCTTCGCCGCAGTCAACTATAAAGGCTTAATTCAATTCAATTTTTTTTTTGTTCTGTGGCATAAAAAAGGTTATCCCCTATAAAGAAACAACTGACTGTCAATAAAATAAATTATGTATGTACCTATATCTTTTTATAATTACTACATCACTATAAAAAGATATAGATACATAATTTACTTTTAAGATTCGCATGTCTACGTTTTGAATAAATAAAACAAAGCAAATCATATTTTGTTAATATGTCACATATTACTAATTGTTAGATTGAACTCGATAATTACCAGATTCTGTGAAAGCTTTAGTCGTTAAGTTTAGTATTAAGTCGTTTCAACAGATGAGGAGAGGATTAGCACTATACCTACCTAACACGACTTGAATGGATTTTTATAAATTAAAAATTTAAAAAACCCCCTACGAAAATTGTCATTTAACGATTACACTGGCACGCGTAAAGCACTTAATCGAGTAATCATACGCCAAAAAGCATTACATCATTTTGGAAAAGAGTTGATACTCTTACACTGCTGGACCGACATTAACCAAACATACCTAAGAACTACCGCAAGGAAACTGGCTTTCAAATGGAAAAAACCGCATCGAAATCGGTCCGTCCGTTTGAGAGCTACGGTGCCACAGACAGACATCGACGTCAAACTTATAACACCCTTCTTTTTGCGTCAGGGGTTAAAAATAAACTTCTTTGTACTTATAAGTACAGATAAGCACAATCTTACTTAAGATGTTGTTAAAAAGTTTATTTTATCTTGAGCTTAGTTTCGGCTACTGATATAGAGTGAGTTGTTTTTGTTGGCGGACAGTCGGTTCAAAGTTGTAAAAGCTCGAAGATGTTATTCATATTATTTTGTAAAGTATATTTTTACAAGATTTTATTTAACTTGCAATGTTTGTATGTATGTTTGTTCGGATAAAATCTTGTAACTGAATTGTAAAGCAGCTATCCGAAACCGATTGAGCGAAAATTTTGCATACACGCTTAGTTTAGATGACAATTCATGGTGTTAAGTGACATCAATCTAAATCCAACACGGCGGACTCTCAATGATGGCGGACTATGTGTTTATTATGCACTCCCATGATATATGAAATGAAAGGGATAGCTGGGAAGAATATGAGAAAATACATAAAAAATAAACTTTAAATTAAATCAAAGTCATTTATTACATTACACAATTTGTATGATATAAAAGCTTGGTATTAAAAATTGTTATTTTAATAACAATTTATCTATTTTCATCTTTGTTAACTTTTAATTTAGAAATGCACAAGAATCAATTTTTAACGCACATTAATTATTTATATCGGTTAAAATAAAAAAAAATAAAAATATTTTTTTTAATATAATTATTTTGTAACCACACTTACAAATTTTTTTCTTAAAATTTATGTTTATTTTCTCGTCAGCCTGTATAATTTATTCATTAATAATTTGACGAAAATATCGCGTACAATACGCAAAAAATCAACACACAAATGTACCTAATCTTTTTTAAGTCCCGAAAAATGAAATTTTCTTAAGTAATTAATACCTGTGATAAAATTAAAGAAGAATTTTTCATCTTAATATAAGATTTTTTGCTACATACTCGAATCATCGAATATGCAATATTTTATAAAAATTCAAATTTCCATCTCAGCAAAAATATTTTCTAAGCTAGGTAACTCTTGGTCGGACTGACAACACTGACACTTTTAAAATTTAATTGACGTAAAAAGCGTTTGGAAAAGATCATTTTACTTACGAATGCGAATTCGTTAACAGTTTATCATCGATTTACTATCACTGCTGAATTAATCTCAATGAAAGATTCTGGAAAGGAACACATATTATTACTTGGATCAAGAAAATGGAAATGGTCCCATAATTTTTTAACTTATTCCATTATTTAACCTACTGTCCGCCTAGCGGTCGAAAATCGACCATAATGATTGGAAAATATAGTAATATATTACGTTCTATGAGTTCGGGGATCGGAAATTAAAGCCGTATTTTGCACTATTGATGTTTTATTACTCCTGACACGCGCAGTGTATAAACAGTTTTAGTTAAAATTAGTCACTGGACACTTATTTTCACCATTAGATACACTTCCACTATAGGTTCACTTAATTTTTCTTTCCTTTTCACTTTTTCCGTACTTTTTTTTTTTGGGACATTAACACACAGCACCATCTAGTTCCATGGTAAGCTACGAGGCTTGTGTTATGGATACCAGATAGTTGATACACTACATATATATATAACTGTAAATACATACATATTATAAATATAAACACCCATAACTGAAGAACAAACATCCGTGCTCATCACACAAATGAATGCCCCCAGCGGGACTCGAACCCGCGACCGCTGGAACAGCAAGTAGGGTCACTACCAACTGAGCCAAACTTCTTCGCAATCTTCACCTAACTTCGGAATTCAACTGATCTTTCGACAAACTGCCGGTTTTTTTATATGCATAAACAAAGAACATTCTAGTATTCGAAAATTCGAAACCTTTCCAGTCATTTCGAATGTTTTTTTTTCTCTCTCACTCTTACACATGGTAATTTACAATTATATGCTCTTGACTAAATTGAAGTACAGACCGTTCATTGTAAGAAGACTTTTGGCATGATTTTGCAAAAACACAGTATATTTCGGATTAAAAACTACGCGCTTCCTGTCGCAACTCAACATTGATAGTTATGAATGTTGTTATTACTGCAGTAAGTGCTGCCAACTTGACCGAAACGGACAAGTTATGATGAACGATCTATAATTTCTATGCCTCTCTCGAAATGTTTTGACAACTGTCTTAGGATGCATAGAGCATGCTTCAGACGTGTCTTTTTAATTATTATTTTTTTGGTGTAATGACGTTACACACTCTCCATTACGCGACAATATGAAGAGCATTTACCTGTCGTTTAAAAGAAACTGTTTTCAAAAATTCATAACACTAAAGATGGTCCATAGCTACTACACAAAATAAACGAACATCTGTAGACAAACGGAGGAGAAAAATGTACTGAACTGTTTTGTCTTTGCCTATTTATACCCGTTGACCCGGATAACCAGCTATCATCATACTAAATTTCATCAAAATCTCTGCAGTGGGATTTCCGCGATGCAGTCACAGACAGACAAAAATTTTAAACACTATAGATTCGG